TTCTTTTTTTTGTCTCATAGAATTGAAGGACTGTCATAAAAGCTATTGGTGTGGTGGAACATGCTAATTTGGGTCACTAACTTAAGTGGGAAAATTTGATGCCTCTTTGAAGTAAATTGTGAAGAAAACACCAATCTCGACTTTGTGCTGGCAGCGTCGTGCAATGGCCTAGTAACTTGTAGCTACAGAAAATTGCTTTTTTGCAGGTACGTTTCTAGTAATTTAAAGAAAATCAGAAAGGGCTCATATCTGCTCAGGGTAGCTGCAACTAGCAGAATTTTTAGGGCATTTAGTACATGAATATTTAACTTCAAGTTACGTGGAGAGCTGTAATTAAAAGCTGTAACTGAAGTACATGAAGTGTCTGGAATGGAGTGCCTCGTATGAAGCATCTTGGGATGAAGCGATCGGCCCCTCTTCCCTTCTTGGCGGACTGGGCCGATTGCACCGGTGCCACCCAACAAGGCAATTTCCGAGACGTGTTTCTTGGAACGTCGTCTCCTGTGCTGCTGTCTGTAGGGTTGCTTTTGCGATGAACTTAATTAAGAGATTAGAATGATATAGGCTTGCTCTACCATGTACCTCAACTAGAATAATTGAGGAAGGATACAGCTTAGCTCATAATTCAACCCCAATTAGGACATGTCTAGGACTTAAGCCACAGAATCAATGTAGCCAGATATAGCTTATTTCTAAAGAGATACTTGCAAAATAAAAAGGTACCGCAGTACTTTTCAAGTAAATTATCTGCATCTATCTATATAGGGACTTTTTATTGCGGGCTGTCACTTGCATACATCTTTGGACCTTAGGATGGACCGCAGCGCTGTGACCATATCTGAGGATTACGCTTCTCTCACGTTGCTGCATCCCTTCCGAAAGTCATGTGGTGTACACAGCATTCAATTGGCTTTGATGGCTTTCGGCGTGTTCTGCGGTCTATCATGAATGAAATGGAGTATAGTAGTTCATTGCATTGTTTCCTGACCCGACATGTAAAAGTAGTGTAATGAATGTTTACAATGAGATTTGAAACGTGTGAGCTGCCTTTCTGGCTGTGTCCATTTTGGCCTACTTGGCAGTTGAGGCTATTTTTTTTTTTTTGACTTTGTATTAGATGTCTCGCTTCTGGGACCATAACATTCCAGTGATGTAACGGCTGATTTATATGCACCTAACTGCGCCAAAGCACTTAATCTGCTACATCCTGCTACATTTTGGCAAAATGTGAGAAATGTGCACCAACATTGTGCCAAAATTTCTTTTTACTTTATTAGTACTAAAAATATAATAAATCAGGACCTGTTCCATGGCTGGATCATTATGTTAGGCTTGTGCGAATTTTCAGAACTTTCAATTATCACCTTAAAGGGGCCCTGCAGTCATATTTAAGCCTCTACCTTTTCTGCAGTTTCCACATCTCTTGGTGCTTGGGCAAGCCAGCGGGCACGGAGAGAGTAACTAAATATCAGTGCATCATATTTTAACCGGACGGCGCAGAAACCTCCTCCCACCGACGGAGGCGACGCGCGGTGCCGAAAACGCGCGATATGTGACGTCTTTGGTCCTGGGCTTACTACTGGTCAGAGCCGCTAAAAGCTTCTTTTTAGTCGAAATACAAAATATGAGGCACGAACTGTTTCAATTATTTATAAAAGTAGTTTTTGTTTAGTATTCTAGATCAGAAAATAAACAAAGTACGGAAACAAGAAATGACCCGTCGACATACCCGCCACCAAGTGGTGGAAATGGCGGCGCATACCAGAAAGGAGTAGTGGGATCGGGCTTCGACACGGGAAGGTCCCGGATGTATGCGGCGGCGCTGTGGCCGTATCGACTGGAGGATCCGACCGGCTCCGAGCGTTCCAAAGGCCTTCGGCGAGCAGCTTTGTCTTGCGGTTTGGCCGTTTCGCGGTGTGGCAGCGCGAAGTGGCTTCCATTCTGAACTGATCGGTACCCCGTGTTTGCTGTCGTTTGTGGCCAATGAAGTGTCATGCCGAATAAGTGTTTAATCGCACAGCAAATGCAGAGAGCCGCTCTGGCTGCCCCGTTGCATGCAGCATATATCCAGAACATGCTTTAGTGGCGCCCTCTCGCACCGTCGACACGGAGCGCGGCAGCCGTGAGCGCTCGCTGAGCTTACTAGCCCTCCTCTAGTTCACGACCTCTCAAGCAACCAAGGACGTCATGAGGGAGGTTATTTTTTGCTTGTTTCTGTAATTTTAATTTGCCTATAGTAACTTCTAAAATAAAGCGAAATTCGAGAAAAGAAAAGTTTCATTAAGTTACTACGTTCAGTGCGCTTAGGTTTGGTGCAAATATAAAAACCAGTAAAAAAGTCCTTGCAGGGCCCCTTTAAATAACATCATATTCAATTTGATCTCTGGATCAAATATTGACAGTACTCGGAAGTTTCGTAATATTTCTCATGCTTGTTGTCTGTTCTGACTGGATAGCTGGCATCGTTGAGTGTGCGTGTCACCGCATAGCACCACATCACAATTTTGCATATTTGCTTCGCCGCAGTGCACCTGCATGCCAAGGGGAAAGCTGTCCCCGAATGCAAATAATTACACAGGAAAAAAAAAAAAAAAAAAAAAAAAACTGCGGCTAGCATATATGATAGCAATATTCTGACCATGTCTTTTTTCACATTCAAGATTTATCAAGGATACTTGAGTATCGCAAGAAAGCTTTTTATGAACTGCTCTATGTGTTTATTTTTAATGTCGACTCTCATTAAGTTATTACCTTCATACTGGTTCCATTTGTGTCGTTCGATGGCTCAGTGATTGGAGAAATTTAAACCTATATTCGTTGGAGCAGTAAACACAAGCCTGGAAATAACCTAAACATGTTCGGCGGGATTTTTTTTAATATATGCTATATTAAACAAAAATCCCGCCGTCGTTACATGCTGATTTTTGTTATCGTAAAGTTCTACTTCTAAAACGTCATTGATGTTCATAATCAAATGACAAAAGCTTTGCATTCTATCTAAATTAAGAACTGCAGTCTTTTATAGCCTGTGTAAGTTGAAGAAAACATCAATCTAGGTGCTCGAAATTATTATATTGTAGCATTATTTCAGTGGGCTATATACAATTTGGTATACACTTTATTTCATACCTAAAATAACCATGCACAACAGTTTCTACTACTCTTCATCTATCAGCATCTTGTTACTGTGCCCTCTACTTCTGCGTGCAATTAAACTGCTAGCTAGGGAGTTAAACCTGCCATGCTGTTGATGCCATCAAATGGTTGCACAGAAGCCGGAAGGCGAAGTAGACCTAAACACATAAATCTTATCATGACATTCACACTGGTAAGAATAAAAATTAAATGTGCGCTTATGCCCCAAAAGTACTTTTGTTGCTCAAAAACACAGTTTCGGCTGCTCCAACAGGTGCTCCAAAATCACTCCGACCAATCACATCACAGCATCCATTACACAAGCTCAGAAGACTATACACAGTCTAGTATAGTATAGGTCTATATATAAACGTACAGGCCACGTGACGTCAATTTTTCTTCTAAATTTAGTGGGGAAACTAAATTGTTGTATAGGTCACGTGATATAAATTTCCCCGCCAAATTTAGCAGAGGAATGAATTGCTCAGTCGTGGCGTCAGGTCTCGTGGCATCAATTTCCCCGCCAAATTTAGCGGGGAAACTGAAATGGTGTATAGGTCTCAAGAGCAAGTCACGTGACATTGATTTCCCCACAAAATTTAGCGAGGAAACTGAATTGATGTTTAGGCCTCGCAATGTCAGGTCACATGGCATCGAATTCCCTGCCAAATTTAGCGGGGAAACTGAATTGGTCTTTAGGTCTCGTGACATTAATTTCTCCGCAAAATTTAATGGGAAATCTACGGACGAACGGACAAAAGTTTGGGATTGGGGGGGGGGGGGGGGGGGGGGGGGGCGGGTTATTTTAAAAAGCATTTTATGCCTTAAAAAAATTTCATTGCAGACATTGAAACTTCTTCTCGTCATGAAATTGTAAGGGGTGCGGTTAGACCCTTTTATTGTTTACAAACATGAACCACTGCTTGCGTCCCAAGCGACTTCCGGTTGCTGCGTCTTTGCAAGCCAGTCGAGCCTGCTTATGTCACCAGTACTAGAAAGCATAAGTGCTACACGGACAACAAATTTGGAGATTCAGCGAGGGCCTTCGGCTGTACAATCTAACATCTTGGAGGACACACGTTGGTTTACAAGATTATTCGAAAAATTTGAACAGATCTTGCGCTTAGTTCTTTTGGCGTTCGCCTGAAGAATTGGTTGTTAAATGTTTAATCAATGTTTCAAGCAGCAGTGTTAAGGCCCGTTCACACACTTGCAACCGAGTACAACCGAGAGAGACGAGACCTGTTGAAACCTCTTAGGATTTCTAAGGGCGACAGAGAGAACACGCTGGCACGCTGGCACCATCTCTGCGGTGACCCTGGAACTGCATTTCACAAGAGCAAAGGTTTTGCGGTCTTTCCAAGGTCAAATGTGCATAATACCTATGAGAAAGGCTCGTTTATATTTTTTTGTCTATTTTTTGACTATTTTTTCGTTTATAACGTTGACAAAAGTTTTTCGAGCCAAGAAAGAAAGGTTAATGCGCGAGGGAAATAGAAAATATGCCGGACCGCCAAGTTTACACTGCTACCCAATAGATGGCGCCAGTGTGTCCTCTTGTCATTAGAGATGTTATGTTTTTATGAGGTTTCAAGGCATTCGGTTCTAAGAGGTCGCAAGTGTGTGAACAGGCCTTTAAGGTGGACTTTGTTCATTCTTCTTGTGAACCAAAAGTTCGCTGGGATGTCAAAGACTGGGGCACCGCCTGGTGGCGTTTGCAATGGAAAGGGTCTGTTGCATTTGGAGTTGACGTCTTGCGCTCGGAAGCGACTAGCCCTCCCTCAACTCGTTGACCGTCAGCTGCCCGAGAGGGTTGTTCTGCGGGTGCACCTCAGTCTTGACGCTCTCCCGTTTCTTTTTGGCAGGAAACGGCCATCCCGGGGGCATAGGGTTTGGTCCCCGCATACGGCAGGGGATGCCCTATGCCTCGATGCGCATGCCCGTTCCCCCCAACCACAACAATGGCTTCGGCGTCAACGCGGGTGTGCCCAGCCCCAAGGTCAGGCCCCACCGGAGGTAGCGGCTTGACTGGCGCCTTTTGGCTCTGTGTGTGCACCGGGCCTGGACATCGGAGTGTCAGTTGGTGACATAATCATTCTGCTAAGAGTGGCCAGCCAGGCAACATTGCACAGACTGCTTGCGGATACACCTTGTGCTGTTGTCTAATAAAGATGTTGAGTTAAAAAAAAAAGAAAAGAAAGAAACCTTGGTTTGATGTTTGCTATTTTGCCCGTGATTTATATGAAACTCCTTAGGTCTCTGCTTTCACTGTCGGTACTTATCCCTGACTTCTAGAGGAGTGTGTGGAACTGGGGAGATTCAAATAATCTTAGATCACATAATCTAATAAATGTTATTGAAAAAAAAAACGATATTCTAAATACATAATGTTACACTCTGACATTGCATTATAAGCTTTCTATGTGAAATCTAAAGCTAAAATTATAAAGGTCACACTAAAAAGCAACTTTCAGAATCGTCGCAGCAACGCTGATGATTCTTTCCGTGCTTCAGCAGGAGCCTGTTTTGTACAAACTTCGGACAACGGGCACAAAAGCAATGACGTAAACATCTATTTTCATGGCCTCAATATTTTACGAATTTAGCAAAGTACGTTTCAGAAATATTTGCCAGGCTCAACGTTTTGTAAATTGGAGTGATATGCTCTATATTTGTTACCATGGTGATATATTTGCGGGCTTAATTTTTGGTGGTATTCTTCAAGTTGTGAAATTTAGGTCCTTGCGAAAATTAAGTCGTTTACAGTATACGTCATTTGAAGGTGTAGCGGCACGCTACAGCGAGCAAAGAAGACGAAGAACACCAGCTCGAGAAAAACACCATCACTTGCACGCGGGGGCTCGAGATGACAAGGCGAAGGGCTACGCAGTCCACGTTCCACGATCTTCAGATTTTGACTCTTTTGTAAATAATGTAAATATACAATTTGTTAGCAAATGAGAATATCTTCCTTGCTACAAACTGGTTCGTGAAGCAGTCTTCGCTTTACATCCACCATGAGCGCAAAATGCCGGAGAAAGTACGTTTCGGTGGGTTTTCTTAATCGCCGACGTTCTTCAACCCATCATAGGAGCCGACTTTCTCCGGCATTTTGCGCTCATAGTGGGTGTAAAGCGAAGACTGCTTCACGACATTGAGACTCGCCTCACCGTGCAGGGAATATCTGCGAAGGGAGTCCAAAAGGCGCCCAGCCTCCCTCAAGTGGAGCCCACCTCCCAATGTACGGACATCCTCGACGAATTCCCCGACGTGTTTCGTCCAACTTCAAGAGACCTACCGGTGAAACACACCGTGACCCGCCATATCGAGACGAAGGGACCTCCTGTGTTTGCTCGACCTAGACGCCTAGCTCCAGATCGCCAGCGGATAGCGAAGCAAGAATTTGAGCACATGCTCGAGCTTGGCTACGTCCGGCTTTCTTCGAGCTCCTGGTCATCGGCCCTCCACATGGCCCCAAAGAAGAGCGGCGACTGGCGTCCATGCGGAGATTACAGAGCCCTCAACCAGAGCACGGTCCCCATCGCTATCCAATTCCCCACATACAGGATTTCACCGGCGCCTTGCATGAAGCAACCATCTTCATAAAGGTGGACCTCGTGAAAGCGTACTACCAAATTCCTGTGGAACCGGCCGACGTTCCGAAGACCGCCATAATAACCCCATTCGGCATGTTCGAGTACTTGCGGATGCCGTTTGGTCTCCGCAATGCGGCCCAGACCTTCCAAAGGTTCATCGACCAAGTCCTACGCGGCCTGACCTTTACTTTCGCATACATGAACGACATCCTCATTTTCAGCGACAAGCCGAAAGACCACGTAGACCACCTACGTCAGCTCTTCTCTCGCCTTGAAAACTATGGATTGATCGTCAACCCTGCAAAGTGCACATTCGGCGTCGAGGGCCTGGATTTCCTGGGCCATCGCGTCGACAGTCACGGCATACGGCCGCTGCCACAGCGAGTAGAAGCCATCCGCGAGTTCCCGCAGCCTCCTACAACAAAGAAACTCCGCGAGTTTCTCGGGCTCGTGAACTTCTACAGACGCTTTGTCCCTCAGTGTGCTACGATCCTCCAGCCCCTGCATGACCTTTTGCAAGGAAAGCCAAGCAAGAACGCCGTTCTGACTTGGACACCAACTGCTGACGCAGCGTTTTCCGCCATTAAGGAGGAACTTGCAAAAGCTACACTGCTGACCCATCCAAAAGCTGGAGCGCCAACATCAGTCATGGTAGACGCCTCTAACTCCGCCGTCGGAGCTATCCTCCAGCAGAACATCAACGGAACATGGAAGCCATTGGCATTCTTCTCGAAGAAGCTGTCAACCACTGAGTGCCGCTACAGCACTTTCGGAAGGGAACTACTCGGAGTCTACCTTGCCATCAGACACTTCCGCTACTACCTCGAGGGACGATCATTTTTTGTGATGACTGATCACAAGCCGCTGACGTATGCTTTAACATCTAGCAGTGAAACGCACACGCCAAGAGAGATACGGCAAATGGCTTACGTCATGGAATTCACGACGGACATCCGCTTTGTACCAGGCAAAGACAACTCCGTAGCAGACGCACTCTCTCGAATTGGTGTGAACACCTGCTCTACCGAACGGAACGCTGTCGACTACGAAGAACTAGCAGCAGCGCAGAGCACGGATACAACACTACCACATCTGCGGGAAACAACGTCACTGAACCTACAAGACATAAAGATTCCGGAATGCAAAGCAACATTGGTCTGCGATGTGTCGACAGGGCAACCAAGACCATATGTCCCCGAGAAGTTCCGGAAGCCTATTTTTGAAGCAATCCACTCACTTTCACACCCGGGAATTCTAGCCACACAACATCTCATAACTGCTCGATTCATCTGGCCTAAGATCAACGCCGACATCCGCAATTGGACACGCACGTGCGTGCAATGCCAGCGCGCGAAAGTGGGTCGGCACACGACTACACCGCTCGGCAAGTTTTCACCTCCCGATGGTCGTTTCAGCAACATCCACCTCGACATAGTGGGACCACTCCCGCCAGCCGACGATTGCCGGTACATTTTGACCTGCATCGACCGCTTCACGAGGTGGCCTGAAGCAGCACCGATCAAATCGATAGCAGCAGAAGCCGTAGCACGGGCCTTCGTCAGCATGTGGGTCAGCCGTTTTGGAACACCAACCACCATCACAACAGACCGAGGGAGACAATTCGAGTCTACACTGTTCCAGAACCTCTCGCGGATCCTAGGTACAAGCATATTCACACTATATCCTATCACCCCATCTCCAACGGAATGATGGAACGGTTTCACAGACAGCTAAAGGCCAGTTTGAAGACGAAAGGTACAGCCGCGCCTTGGACGGAAACTCTACCACTCGTCATGCTTGGAATACGCACGTCTCAAAAAAGTGACCTGGGATGCAGTACAGCAGAAATGGTGTACGGCACGCCTCTACGCATCCCTGGTGAGTTTCTAACACCTACCACCAACACCGAAACCACCACAGCAGAGGACTACGCAAGCCGTCTACGAACTACGACCTATACCCACACGACAGCGGAACTCTCGCAAGGTGTTCCTCAGCCCGGAACTGTCACGCTGCACCCACGTGTTCATACGCACAGACACCGTGAAGCGACCGCTGCAGAACCCATATGAAGGACCATTTAAAGTTCTAAAACACGGCGACAAGTACTTCACTGTGCTCGTGAAAGGACGTGAAGATACAATTTCACTCGACAGGATAAAACCAGCTCATCTCGAGCAACCCCAAGCACACACAACTCCAACCCTAGTACGACGTGTACACTTCAAAGGAGCACCTGATCGCTCGTCTCCTCCACCTCCTCGCTAGGGGGGGAGTACCTGTAGCGACACGCTACAGCGAGCAAAGAAGACAAAGAACACCAGCTCGAGAAAAACACCATCACTTGCACGCGGGGGCTCGAGGTGACAAGGCGAAGGGCTACGCGGTCCACGTTCCACGATCTTCAGATTTTGACTCTTTTGTAAATGTAAATATACGATTTGTTAGCAAATGAGAATATCGTACTTGCTACAAAGGAATTCAGTGAACACTTTTAGAGCGCAGCTCTTAGGGGCCCGTTTCCGGCTTGAGCGGCGTCGGCGTAACCGCGCGGTGCATCATGGGAAATGTCCCATAATGCACCGCACGAGCCCCCCACCGGGGTCACGTGACCTCGTGGGGGGCACGTGACCCCCCCCGAGGTCACGTAACCCCCGAAGTCACGTGACCCCCGCCGATGTCACGTGACCCCCAATGACGTCATCGTCATCATCACTGATGACGTCATCATCACTGATGATGTCACCGGCATCCACATCGTCACCGTCATGATCACTGATGACGTCACCGGCATCCACATCGTCATCGTCATCATCACTGATGACGTCACCGGCATCCGCATCGTCATCATCACTGATGACGTTACCGACATCCGCATCGTCATCATCACTGATGACGTCATCAGTGACGTCACTGATGTCACCGGCATCCACATCGTCATCGTCACTGATGACGTCACCGGCATCCGCATCGTCATCATCACTGATGACGTCACCGGCATCCGCATCGTAATCGTCATCATCACCGATGACGTTACCGACATCCGCATCGTCATCGTAATCATCACTGATGACGTCATCAGCGACGTCACTGATGACGCCACCGACATTCGCATCGTCATCGTCATCATCACTGGTGAAGTCATCAGTGACGTCACTAATGACGTCATCGGTACCCGCATCGTCATCGTCACTGATGACGTCATCAGTGACGTCAGTGATGACATCATCGGCATTGGGGGTCACCAAGGTCACGTGACCCCCCAAGGTCACGTGACCCCCCCCTGGTTAGTTTAACCCCCCCCCCCCAGTGCCCTTCCCTCCTCCTCCTCAAGAGCTGCGCTCTAATTCGGCGTTACAGGGAGTTGTAAGCAGCTTTCACTTTTTAGAGCGCAGCTCTTAGGGGCCCGTTTCCGGCTTGAGCGGCGTCGCCGTCGGCGTAACCGCGTGGTGCATCATGGGAAATGTCCCATAATGCACTGCGCGAGCCCCCCACCGGGGTCACGTGACCTCGGGGGGGGGGGGGGGGCACGTGACCCCTTGAAGTCACGTGACTCCCCTGAGGTCACGTGACCCCCGCCGATGTCGCGTGACCCCCCGATGACGTCA